TATTATTATTTCTTATTATTATTATCAGCTGCCAGGTTGCGGAAAATTATCCACAATTTAGAGCAATGATTAAATGTTAAGATGTCTGCCTTTCTGACCCAAATACACTTTCGAAAGTACCCACATAGGATAAGAAAAAGAAATTAATCCAGCGGCATTTACAGCGACGCAGAGCAACAGCGGAGAGTCGAGGTTGCTGAAGCAGCAGTCGAGGATTTGGTTTTTATTTTGTTCTTTGTAAAGAAGGTGACGAGAAGAAAGTAGAAGTCGCTGCTGATGGTGCTGCTGGGACGTCACATAATCGTATTGTCACCATGCCAGTCCACAGCGCAGTCGGTGGCTTCCAAGTGGAGACCTTAACGAACCAACTGGATCTGCGACATCGCCTCAAAGACAACATGACTGAACAAAGGGAAACTGGAACTGGTTTTGAAGGTTTATACGGAACGACGCTCACATGCAAAGTTTTATGGGAAGGCACTACAAGAGAGATGCAATCTGGTGCATTACTAGTCGATCTGAAATACAACCAGGTTTATGATACATTGCGAACTAACACAAACACTAATTTATAATTATTATTACTACTGCTATTTTATTTATTTATTTTTTTTTTTTTTTTTTACTTAATATAATTGTTGTTATTATTATTTTTGCGATTAATAATTTTTAATGAAAAACTATTCGTTTCGTTTCCTATGTACTTTAAATTAAGTTCTTCTCCATTATTGTATTGAGTTCAGCCGCTCCCGTTGTTGTTGTTGTTGTTGTTGGTGGTGTTGGTGTTGGTGTCGTTGTAGTGGTTGTTGTTGTGTCTGCCGGTGTGGTTAATACAGTTGCCGTTGTGTCTGTTATTGGTATTAGTGGTGTTGTCTCACTGGCCGTAGCTGCTGTTGTTGCTGCAGTTGTGCTATCTGCAACTGTTGTTGCCGCGGTTACAACTTCGCTAGACGCTGTTGTTGCTGTTGCGGGCGTTGGTGTAGTGGTTGCCTCTGTTGCTGTTAGTTCCTCGCAGTCCTCCACATTTCCAAATACATTCTTTTTTTTCAATGGCCTTCTTCGCTCTCTCCTGTGCGCCGACTGCTGTGAAATAAACAATTGCATGTTAATTATAAATGCAAAGAAGAAATAGTTGGCGGGGAAATAAATATGTAAACGAGACGCTTGGAACACTTTGTGGATGCTTTGGGCGTCAGCACATCAATTAAGCAGAAATAAACCAAGTGTGCAAAATGGATGGATGAAGTAACATGTATATACAGGGTGTGTGGGTGTGCGTGTGTGTGTGTGCCTATGTCAAGAAAGCAACAGATTAAAAAGTAAAGAAAAAGAAAACAGCCAGAAAGTCATGTGACGCCGCAATGGGAATGACAGACGTGTCTATAGTAGAAGCTCGATATGAAGTACTTTTGGCTTTTTCGATGAACAACAAAAAGTTTAAACAATAACAATAACACACATGTGGGTCGGATCAGAGAATTAAATGAACAACTCTAACTAACTTGGCGCAAATCAAATTAAGCGGCTGGTGGAACTGTTGCTAATATCACCACGTTGTTGTTGTTGTTGTTGCTGCTGCTGTTGTTGCTGCTGCTGTTGTTGCAGTTGCTGTTGTTGTTTTGGTTGTAGTTGTAGCTGTAGTTGATGTTTTTGTTGATGCGACTGTTGTTGTTGCTGTTTCTGTTGTTGTTGCTGCTGCTGTAATTGTAGTTGTTGCAGTGGGGGCATTAGCAGCTCCGCTGCCGGTGGTAATTTACCTCCTCGGTTGACACGATTTCGGCTTGCCTGCACACAGTTTGACAAGAAGGTAGAAGGGAAAAGGACAACAAAACGAAACAGCGAAATATCGAAAGAAGGTACATTGGATAATTTGAAACAGAGAAAGAATTAGAACAAAGTTACCATGTTGTGGAGTGTAGTGTAGCTTGGTATGCTATAGTATATATATTTATATACATATACACACACATATATTTTGTGTGGCAAGGTGGAAGACCTGCACCAGGTGGACTACTTTAGTAACAGTTGCAGCTCAAAGAGCCGCACTGTCCTGTTACTTAGTTACCTTTTCCATTGACATTTTCAGATGCTCCACACTGTTAGTGAGGCCATTTATGGTAGAGTCAGTGTTGCTCGATTCTTGGGCGCTGCTCTCGGTTTCACTGTTAGCGCCGCTCCCGCTGCCACCACCGCCACCGACAGTCGGAGCAACAGAGGAGCCCACACCCATTGAAGTGTAGGCGCTGAACAATTGACGCGACAAACGCGGTATTCCATTAACATCGACGGCCGCCGAGGAGTTTGGTGCGAGTGCTGTTGTCGGTGTTGAGCTCGGAGCGGGACCGGGCCATCCGCCAATTGTTGGGATTGTTGTTAATTGGGGATAGTTTGCAGATTTGTTGTCAGGCTGCTGTTGCTCATTACCAACATTTCCATCTGCGACGGGCGGTTGCTGTGCTTGTGACGCCTGTTGCTCCTGCTTGTTGTCATCATTCGACTCCAAATCGGATTCGTTGTTCTCCTCCTGATCCTGCTATAAAAACAAAGGGTCTTAATTAGTATTGAATCTTCTTGTGGATCAATTTGCGTATAGGCACCGTGGTAGCTTTCTCGCTCACCTCCTCCGGGCACAGTTCGTAGGCCATAGACCAGGTGTTCTTTGCCGATTGTGAACGCTCTAGCATATAGCCAGTTGTGTTGTCATTGCTCTGTGCCGGCGGAGACCATGAGTACGAGTTATACTGGCAGCCGATTCCGCGCTGGCGCTCCAGCTCATCCTGAAGCCATTCAACAGCAATAGTCCAATGGCGGGTAATAGTAGGATTAGTGTTTAACATTTGGAGCGCAATTGGCGATTTGTGGAACAGCTGCGTTAGGCATTTGATTATCTGATAGGCGCGCTTCTGATAGTGTGTCTTAGCCCGTTGTATCGTCTCTAGAAGCCCTTCACGTTCCTCGGCCACGCCATTCAGTGCATTGTGTATGCGATGGTGCTGCCAAGAGTCCTCGATCAACAAAATGTTCAGCAGCAAGTCTGTGTGATGGCGCATATCATGGCAATAAGCGAAGCCACACTGCCACAGCAGCTCAGTGAGTACGGCACGCGAGAAATGCGGATTTTCCCAGCTGCAATACTGGAGCAGCTTTAAGCCCTCTTCACCCACATTCGTATCCTCAATGACCTTTTTGATATAGCTATAATAAAACGCGATTAAGATCTATTGCAATTCAACAGCAGCCAATTGGTTTACCCGGTCCGATTGAAGAGAATGTCCATACACTCGCTGGACAGTGGCGTTAAATCCTCTTGGGAAATATTAGGATCCTTATAAGGATTGGGCAGAGGTCGCGCATTTTGATTGGAGCTCTGACACTTTTCGCTAACATCACTGCAGCGCACCAAATGGGACACAACTTGATGCAGCTTGCTGAATTCCGGATACTGATACTTAATCGACGGTCCAGATCCATCGTCCATGGCCACCTGCATAAACTGCACGGGCACATTTAGCTAAAAGAAACGAAAAACAAATCACTCGCTAAGCCAAAGAATTTCAATGAAATCCGAGCGCATGGTAATTACCTTAAGTAACTGTTGCTTTTCTCGCGTGCCCAGACCCACATACATGCTGAATAGACTGAAGTAGTGCGGTAAATGCTTGCCATAATCAGCAGCCTCGGACTTGAGCAGACGTAGCACACTAATAAGAACCTGCTCGCAGAGATTGCTTCCCTCATATCCAACCAACGGCTCATCGTTGATAGCAAAGTGGCAAAAGAACACAACCAGTTTAACGAACACGGTGCGTACCTCCGGCGAGGGCGCCATCAATATATACTCGCCCAGGCGCGATGGTGGCGAAAGGAGCGCATGATTTGCGAACCACTTGCGCACCAATGACGAGGAACGTATGTGATGTGACAGGGTATCATACCTGAAAGAGGAGATTGCATGAATATATAGTATAGTATGGTTATCCAGCCTCCTTCACTCACCATTCGATGATGGGGCCACGCAGCGATTTCTTAGTGCGAAACCCAGTGTGGAACAGAAATTGTGATGCTAACTGCACGCCAAGCAGAGATAGTTCCTCAGCAGCAGGTGTCTGAATAAATGTGATGAAATTGTGAATTTGAAACAGAGAATAATAATAATAATAATTCGATGATCTGACACTTACAATTTTATCGCTGCGCGTCGAAGGAATACTGCAGCTGACTAGCTTTTTAATAAAATTAAAAAACTCCACCGAGAAAATGCTGCGTGAATGCAGGAAACGAATATTTTGATGTCTGAAATGGAATAACGGCACTGGTTATGATTGCTCGTGAAAATATTTAGCAAGTGGACCCACCTGACACTACGCTCAATCGGCTTCGGCAGTGGCAGCACCCCATTGCGGCTCTCTGTTAGCGACAGCTGCTCCACACTCGGCTCAAAGTTTGTGGGATTCTGATCGCAGCGCGTGTAGAATAGCATGTAGGCATTCCACCAGCGCTTTTGACGGCGATATTGCATGCGTTTCAGATTGTTATCGTAGATCTCGCCCAAGTAGTCGCCGCCAAAGCATTGCACTTTCATTTCCTCATCCTCGTGCATTTTGCATTCAGTTACCTCTCCATCATCAAACTTGTACCACTGGCTCTTGCCGTTTGCTGGATTTCTGCAGGAATGCGATTTAATTAAGGATGCTACGGATATTATTTTGTTGCAACTTACTTGGATACTATGTAGCTGAAGTAATGGCCACCGGATGCCTGCCCGCTGTGCACCACAATGCCTGTCAGTTCGTACTTTGTTGTTTCAACACTTGTTTGACAATTATCACCTACTTCCACAACTTCGCCCTCTAGCTTAGCTAGGCCAGAAACTGTGTGAAATAAAAGCACCTTATTGAAATATATACACATTTTAGAAAGTTTTCGATTATCTCACCTGTGTAGGGCTCCATATCGAGTATACGCGGAAATTCAAAATAATCATTAAACTTAATTGCGCAAACGCGCTCGTAGTCGTATTCAAAGCGCTTCAATTGTATGGCTAACACGGGCGGCAGCTTCTTGACACATAGCCGCTTAATGGTAACTACCTGAAAGAATTAAAAAATATATATATTGTATATGTTATGTGGGAATAATAATGTTAAGTTGATTGACTCACTTTTTTATCACATTTATCACAATGGTATGCATCAGCTCCCTCGAGCAGCTCTCCCTTGACATACTGCTCCAGAGATTCAGTTAATGAGCTATGATTCCTAATATCAACACTAAATACGCTAAATGGTTCCTCTTTGGAGTAGCGATGTGGGCACTCTTGGCAAATCTTCTGATCGCTAAACGAGCCACCCAATGTTGCATTCATTAGCTGCGTGTAGCCGAGTGCCTTCAGTCCCTCATCGAGGCTCTCGAACAGCGACATGAAGAACTCAACAGCATCCTGTTGCTCGCGAAGATTCACCGGCTCGCCTTGCAATCTGTCGTGGATCGTTTGGTAAGTCCATATATTCAATATCGTTTAAACATTTCTCTACTCACTTAAAGTGTGTCCAAAGACCGCGAGGCACATAAAACTGCAATGCACTGTGGCCCAGGTGAGCGAAAATGGCCTGGACATGCTTCAGTATGATCACATGGTAGTTCTTTCGCACATCGCTGCTATCATCGGAACCCATGGCAGCAGTTACGGATGACGACGAGATCGAGGGTATTCCCGAAGGCCCAAAAAATGATGAGCCCAGGCCACTGCCACTAGTCAGATCGGAATCACCGCTAAAGTCTTCGTTGTCATTGGTAGCGGCGCCGTGGGCCTTGAGGATGCCCACGCGCACAGCTGGCACCATGTAAAGCTGTTGCAGCACTGAGTTCATATAGCAAGTGGCACCAGCGTTCTTCAAGCCACAGAAACCTTTAACTGGCCGAGCTCCAACGGGCGGCAGATAGTCCCATTCGCGCAGTGGATCGGTATCTGAAGTAAAATAAACAATATTAGTTAGATAAGTTAGCTTAGCTTCCACTCCATGCTCAGCAGACTTACCCGTGCAGACGAAATCAATGAGTGTATTGGTGAGTAGCTTCATATTAGGAACACAGAGCTGGCACAAAGCAATGAGAAGATCACAAGCAGCAGCAATTGTGTGCGGACTGCGGCACACTGGTGGTGGCACCGTGTCCAAGCGCAGGCTGCCATGCTTGCGTAAATGCAGATACTCGCGCGATGCCGTAAACAAGAAGTCGTCGATGAGCTCGTGTATCAGCTCGTTCAGCTGCGCCTTCGAGTCGGGCATCAGAAAGAACATTAGCTCTTTGGCCAGGCACAGATGTCCTTCGAGGAGCTCTTCGTGCACCTGTGTATCACCAGAAACCTTGACGTTTTCGCGTATCTTGCGTAGCCACTTGATCTCATCGCCCAGCAGGCCCTCTCCAATCTGCAGTGGCCAATTATAGATGCAGCCATAGGAGAGCGTGCGACATAGGACCGAGAAGAACTCCGCGCAGGTGGCCTCGTATTGGGGCACCAACGTTTTCAGTGCGCTCACGAGCAGATTGACCATGTAGACAAACGGACGACGATCGCCGGCACAGTAGGTAGAGGCCAGGAACAGCTGCTCAGATGCCACTTGGCGAACATGACGCAGAGGATTCTTCAGCACAATTGAGGTAATGAATTTGGGCCAATTGGCATCGTTGCTCAACGCCTCGTTGGCGCTGGGATTGAGTATAAAAGAGATCGTTAATACCTCGAGCGCTTCCTTGCACATGCTAAAGTCCTGGCCATCGGGTATGATGGCATCATCCTCGAAATCGTTGGTGCTGCCTAGAGCTTGCAGATTACCGCACGACGAAGCCCAGGCCAGCTGCACCACAGCCTTAATTGTGGTTATATCTGGACAGGACCATTGCAACGTAGAACTAAACAGTGCACGACAACGTTCGCCTTCGTGACTTGCCGACAGCATCTCAGTGGCCAATATCTCTGCGAGTTTCGCCGAAATAGCGCGCAGCGTCCCTTGCGCATTGTTGGGCATCGTCGAAAAGTTCTGCTTCAGTATGTCCACCTGGGATCGAGCGCCATTGTCATAGTCACAGATCATTGGTTCATCGCCCACGCGGGAGAGTACGCTACCCACTATGTATAGAAACAGTTTGGCCAGACGCAGCACACACTGGAAGGAGGCTCGCTTTGTGTGCATATCGGCACTGGGCAAAAAGTTGTTCTTGGTGAGCAGCTCCAGCACGAAATGAGCACACCCCGAATGCATCCAGGCGGACTGCACCTGTAGCGCTGACTCGCCCAGCGGATCTAGCGCGGGTATCAATAGTCCATGAAGAACACTCAGATTGTATAGCACCTGGGCTGGTGCCGGATGCAGAAACATCTGCTCTGGTGTGCAGTCCTCGGCATTTAGCTGAAAAATAATGGATCAAATTTAATATTATAAAATGCTTTCGTAGGTAGGTATCAACGAACCGTATCGCTAGGTGCTTGTCCACTACTGGACAGGGCATCCTCCTCTTTGGGGCCATCGCCGGCGGGCGACTTTGGGACACGGCACATGAGCTGCAGCATGCGCATTGTATGACGATCACAGGGCAACAGATGCAACAGCACCTTGGCGCTATCACGCAGCCGGCCGTGCTCCAAGTCGCTGCCCAATTGATAGAGCTTTAAAAAGAACTCAGTGTACTGATAGTGCTGGGATATAATCACGCCGGGCAGCGTGCTCTCGGATTCGACGCGCTGCATATCCGGACAAGGCCTTGGTGGTGAACCGGTGCTTGAATCGCTGGAGGAGTCAGGACTGCTGGCCAGGCCAATGCCCACCGGCGTTAGCTTAGCCGTCAATATCATTTTGTCGCGAATGGTATACTGGTACAGTGGATTGATCTCATCCGAGACTTCGATTGGCTCGCCGTTCGTATAGAAGAGGTCCACTTTTATGTTGGTATTGGATGTGGAGTTGCCTTTAATGCGCTTCAGCAGGTTCCGTTTGAATGCCGCCATTGTCTCGTTGCTATGCGTAATGATCTCAATGTCATCAATGGGTCGTCCAGGCGTTTGGAAACGAATGTAGAGACTAGTATTCTTGCCGCGCGTGACGCGACTGAGGGGCAGATGGATCCGATCGCCGCTGAAGGAGCGATCGCATTCTTTAATATACTCTTGCAGCACCTTGATGATGCGGCACATCTTCTCCGCCTCGATGAATCGCATTTTAGTGTCCTTCGAATTATCATTGTTGGAGTCCTGATTATCAGCATCCTCCAGCATCGTCTTGCCCAGTATGAGAATGTTGCTGTAGTGCGTGCGCAAACGCGAACAGCACTCGCCAATGAACATCTCGTGGAACTGGGTGATGTGTTCCTGCAGCCGTGGTCCCAGAGCTGTCGAAACCTCCTTTAGTAGATCAATGGCCTTGTTGGCAATCTCTTCGCCCCCGGTGGTTATCACGCGCCAAAGATAATCCTTGCCAATGAGATCCTCATTGTCGAGTATGTAGCCTCGATGTATGGCTTTCAGTTTGTCCTCCTTAGAATTGACAGCTTTAAAGAAGCGCTCAAAGCACTTAATGCCACTTTCCGTCAGCAGTTGCGGATCCAATTGGAGTATATTATTCTCAAAAAAGTCCTTGTTAATGCCAGGATCAAGATCTGGTTCTTCGCCCATTAGTTTACCGAACCAGCGGAAACATTCCTCGCGATCAGACGGAAAAACGGCGTTCACAGCCAGACAATGCCAGATTTGCTTTGCCTGTGGCGGAAATAGCAATGATTTCTATATAAGCCAATAAGCAATCGATATGGAAAGGAATGAAAATACACACCTGATCAGCACAAAGCCAAAGCTGGCCATCCTTCAGCAAGAACTTCAGAAACTCCAGACGCTCTGCAATCTGAGCATGATGGGGAAATCGTCCGTCTACCATAATGGTGGCTGGATCCAGACTGGGGTTCTCATTAACCATAGCGCGCACCTTTTCCATATACGCAGTCAAACTGTTCGTGACCAGGATAACAAGCGAATAATCGTTCTGCAAACGCTCTATCACCTGCAGCCGATTGGTACCCGTTTGAGTGCGTGGCGCATGATTGGGCGTGGTGTCGTATAAGCAACATATGTCCCGAATGAGACGCAAAGCGGGCAACACCCACGAATCACCAGACTTCAGTTCGCCCACACACTTATCTAGCCAAATGGTCTTCTGAGCATCTCGCTCCTGGGAGCAGCTGTAATCCAGTATCTTAACGTGCGCACCCAATGCCTGATCAAGCACCTCAGGCGGCACCTCTTGACTATGTGCCAGTGTCCAGAAGAGCTTCAGCACTTTCTGTGCCATCACGCCGTTCTTATCGTCTTCGGCCAAACGCCTGATTAGCTCCAGCAAACGCTCCCGTTGACGCTTATTGGCGGTCGTCATACTGGCCTGAAAGAGATCAATAGAACATAAGGATATAGATTATACTCCTGTGCCACGTTGCACTCACCTGGAACGCTTCGAACAGATGGTCCAGTTGCTCGGGCGTAAAGTCCCAAGCTAGCTTGGCCAGCAAATCATGCATGTTCTTAACAATAGCTTCGTGCTTGCCAGCCTGTGCTCGCCACACGGCGTCCAGGTCATCAAGCGTCAATGCCTGCTCTTTAATTAGAAAGCGTATGATCTTCTCCAGCTTTTCCACATACTGAGGCTGATGCAGCGAGTCCTTGAGCACAATGCCGAGCACATCGGACGACTTGATCCATTGAGCCATGCGCTCTGCCGTCAGCCAATCCATCTCGTCCTCGGGCAAACAATGAGGTAGCGGCTGAGAACGATGCGAGTAATATGCCACCGAGGAGAGTACCTTATTGATCTCATTCAGGGCATTCATCTTGCCATTAAAGCTGGACACCTGCAGCAGGCGCAATATCATTTTAAGGCGAAACATCTCAAGATCACGGATCAGCTCCTCTTGGCCCGTCAATCGGCTGGCCAGGGACCGCGCCGACTTCACAATGCCATTAATATAGTCATTTCGTCCCTCCGGCTTCACTTCGCGCTTCAGCTCATCATCAGTGAAACTATCAAGCAGATCCAGCACCACATTCCAAGTGGGCATAAAGTACTTGGCAATGGTTGCCGGCGTCAGCAGCTCGTAGCATTGGCCGAATGGTCGCAGCAGGCTGTGTATCAACGACAGCGTCAGTCGATTGTCCTGTCCGGCTCCGTCCGCGCCCATGCTCTCATTAGACGCGATGCTCTTTACTGTCCCCTTTGAGTTCTGATTGCGTTTTAGCAATTCCAGGCCGCTGTTGAATCGCTCGAGCAGATTATCGAATCCGCCCAACTGCCCAAAGCGATTTATGAGATCGACTAGCCAGCCACGAGGGTTCTTCGGCTCTGGCGGTGGTTTCGCATACATCTTATTACTGTCCAGCACTCCCCAAATGCAGTCGGGTGCCGCAAAGCATTCCGGCTGGCGTGCCGCATTGAACGTGTTGAACTTATTTTCCGGATCGAAAACAATGGCCAGCAAATCCAAGAGATAGGGGTTATCGCGCTGCATGTGTATCGCAATTAAATGCAACAGCTTGCCACACGACACCAAAATGCAGTGATGTATGTTATATTTCCACGAATTGACCGCCTCGTCGGTTAGGATCTTAGCAAAGGATGTGGTCAAGCCATTGCGATAAAACTCAACGCACGGCTCACAGTCATGATCCACACCTGAAGAACAAGAAAAAATGAGAATCATGATGTGAATGCACAGTTAGACGCGGATTGATTGATTGCTTACCAGCCTGGGCCAGTTCGATTGCGGCATTTAAAAGGACTTCCAGCTCCTGTTCGGGCAGCACGGGCACCACCCATCGCGGATTGGAAATCTTTTGTGTCAGGGATCGCAGCTTGGCAGTTGGAAATGACGCTATCAGCTTTTCCGGCGACCTACACACATAATACAAAATATAAGAATTAACTTTAATTCCGATTTTGATTCTATTTGCGGCGTCCATTATTGGGGAGGGGGAGGTAAACGCGTGAGTCATTGCCTGGCCCCGTAAGTAGATAAGCGATAATTGTTCTTTGTTTTGTTATTATCGTCGCCTTTCGTGTTTATTATTTAGATTGCCCATCTCGGCCGACGCACACATATATAAACATAGCTAAAACAGGCACGCACACACAAAATACGCCTCGAAACTCGTGATTTGAATAGCTTTGCTCTAGCGAGACAAATAGGTAGCAAAGGGCAGCTGAACAGCTGAACACCTGGTCAATATTCATTGACTAATAGTCAAATCAATGACATGGCTGAACTAAAATTATTTTGGAGACCACTATATGGCTAAGTAGACGTTAATCTAAGACTAAATGCAAATATAGCATTTACTTTTTCTTTTAAATTTTAAATTAAATTTTAATTCCGTAATTATTGCAAAATACTTTTACTCTCAACACCGGGAAGAAGGTATGCAAAAATAAATGTTCCACTTGGGAAAAACTGTTTCTTCTTTGCATACGAAATGCGAATATTTTAGCCGCGTTAACTACGCAGTTAAAATTATATTGCCACACATAACAAATGGCGAAAATTAATAAATACTCACATTGCTGAGGCGGCGCTCTCCGCAGCGTTAACACCTGCTGCTGCTGCTGCTGTTGGTGCATCCGTCAGTTGGTTCGCATCCTGACTGCTCGTATTGCTATTGTTGGCATCGCCACCCGTGCTGGACATGTTCGATGTTGTGCCCGTTCCCGTTCCAGTGCCTGTGCCCGTAACAGAGCCAGCGTCTTGAGCTGTGCTCGTTACGCCCGTGGTGGCGGTGGTGCTGTTGGTGGTGGTAGTGGTGTTGGTGTTGGTTGTGGAGGTGGTGCTGCTGCTGTTGTTGGTCGTGGCTTGGCCAGTTCCTGTGCCCTGCCGGCGCGTATCGAATGTCATTTCTGCGCCCTGTGGCTGCACCAACGTCACAAATGCTAAACGCCGTCGTCGTTCGTTCTATTATGTTGGCTGCTTATCAGGTGTGAGTGAGAGCTTAAGTGTGTGTCAATCGGTCTGTATGTGTGTGTGTGTTGGAGCTGGTGTAGGTGTGTACTGTGTGTGTATCGTATCGTAATTCTACAGAAGTCTACGCTGGGCGGCTTTGGCTTTGACTATTGACTATGACTATGGCAGTCCTGGTTCCGGAGAGACAGAGACGGGCACACTTCTGTTAACACCGTTACTCCTTATTATTGTTTATGGGTTTGGTTTGGGGGTAAGTAATCAAATGAATGAACAATGTTTGTAACCAATGTACATAGGCACTGTTGGTCGGCGTCGGCGTCAGCGTCAGCGTCGGCGTCTGTGTTGCCTCCTCCTGTTTTTATTTTTTATTTTTTTTTTGGTTTGACGACGTATGTAAACCTTTTTAGATAAGTTTCTTCTTGCCTTCAGTTTGATCTTCTTCTTCTTATTATTGTCCCAATAAGAAATTGTTCTCACTGTTGTTGTTATTATTATTGTTGGTGTTATTCCTATTGTTGTTGTTATTATTATTTTTGCATGCACTGCTGCTGTTTGCGGCGCGCTGCATTTAGTTTACATATTTCTGCTCAACGGACACAATTGCGAAAATCTATAAACTGCAACGAAGTAAGAGAAAAAGAAGAAATAGCAAAATGAATACGAGCGCACAAAGGAGACCAAAAAACACACTTGCACCTATATAAACACATACACATGCAAACACACACTTACACACACAGGCGCACGCAACGAACGAAAAGAGCGAGCGCAGTTGTGGCATGAGCGTGTGTTGAGAGTGAGTTGGAATATGAAAAATCAATATTATTTAATAGACGTGGGCCAGGCGAACGGCGGCATGGGGAGCCGAACACTGGCCAAATATGTGCGAGCATATGAGCACTCACTCTCACATATACACACGCACAACAAACACTCTCCCGTACACACTTACATACCACACACACACTCATCACGGCGACAGTGTGAATTTAATTTAATGTTGTTGTTGCCGTTTTACGTTGTTCTTTTCCTGCTTATATTTATTTATTTGTTTTTTTTTTTTTTTTTTTTTTTAGCCAAACAAAGAAGATTTTTGCTTTTCTCAAAAATTACATCACTGCCTTGGACGTTGGGTGTCCGTGGAACGGGTGCACGAAACCCCCATCCGGCACAAGTGCCGGGGCCATAAGAACAAATACTTGAAGAGCAACCACTTATTTTACTACCAAAGGCGACGGATCTCGCCTCCAATTTTTTTTCTTTCTCGCCTGCTCCTAGTTCTGCTTCTTCTTCCTTTTTCGAAGTTCAAAACTTTTATTTGAATAATTTGACAACTGACATGCAAACTTAGCATTTGAGCGACGAATTATCGTTGTCAACACTGCATACATATGTACATATATATATATGTATGTACATACATAAATATACATTCATACATGCAAATTTCCACAATGGCAATGCAGCACAGATTGGCAAACTGGGGCTGGGGGAGGGCATAGACCCGCACAAGTGCAGCACACCACGAACAAATGTCGAGCCCGTTCAAATATGTCTTATCATAATGACGGGGCGTTGATTGCTCATTTTTTTATGTTTTACGGAAATCTGATATTATATTTGCCTGTTTCAATCCGAATTGCAGGACGTTTTCCTACATTTTTCACATCTAACACACACACTTATATTCGCGTATCTACACACACGCACACAAATGTAGTCACGAAATCGTTTTGCTTTTGCACAACTCACCATTTTGTGCATCCGCCCTAAAAACACTGTGCGTTTTCCTTAATATACGCATTAATTTACACTGTCGCACTAATTTGCCACGATATTTGCACTCAGACTTGCTTAAGGCTTGACTGTTAGAATTTCATAATTGCTGCACAAAATGTTAAAACTATTTATGTACTTTTTTGCAAATTTTGCTGGCTGGCTCTCCTAAGCTTTACAAATCAGCCGGCCGATAGCCAAAATGGCGTCCCTGTTGGTGATGGCCAATTTTTGCAATTGTTGATGTTTGTATTTGTGTTAATTTCTGGCGTATTGCCTAATTTATATTAATTGTTTAAATTTACTTTCCTATTTCCTACACTTATTTTAGAGTTAATTATTATTTTCTTGTGTAGACGGCCGATATATTACAGTAGCCGGCCAAATGTGAACCTGCCTAAATTAAACATCGACCGCACAAAAACACCTTGCATCCCTGTCCATTATCGGTCGACCGCCACATACTAAATTGTAAGATCTAAATCTTTGATAGTCAACCAAAAAATTGGTGTAATGCAATCTATCTATAGTTGATTTTCTAAATCACTAATTAATTGCTTTACAACAATTTCATATATAGCTATGACCACAGTCCTTCTCAACACTTAATTTAGATATGACGACAAATCGATATAACATCGTTTAGGACAGCTGTTCGATGTTTACGCAGTAAATTTTGTCTTTAATAAAGACGGTTATTTGGAGCCGGCGGACAGCAAAATTACATCTCGAGTTTAATTGGCTGTTAAAAAAAAAAACTCAATGACATCTGCACCATTTTGGTTATTAATGAACCATTGCTAGTGGGATTCTAAATAGGCACATAAATAAATTGTTTGTGAAAATATTTTATTTATTTCCCAAAATCGAAAACTTCGCTGTAAATAACATTTCTGCTAATGTTAAAGTTCTTGGGTGGCCACATTGAACTATGTTAGTGTTTGGTGAGAAGAAAAAAAAACATTGCTCCCAACCGACAAAAAAAGAAAAAACAATAATAGATAGTATTTGGTGTAAAAATGTACAGTAATTTAGATCGTTGTCCCGGCCTATATTGTGGTAGGTCGCTGCAAGAAAATGGAACTTGGAGCAATTGTGGTGTTTGCCCTCGAGGAACACGGGTTAGTTAGCTTTGTTTATGTTTACGTTATTGTTATTTTGATTTACTCGCTTGTTACAGGTAAATGCAAGCTTCGCTTGTACGCCCTGTCGAGACGAATTGACTTCCTACTCGTGGCTGTATCTATGCTTTATGTCAATGCTACCCTTCATGATGCACTGTTTTTTTATCGACATGGATGCCAAAGATCGCAAATTTTCACGCAAACAGCTAATCCTAACGGCCAGCGCGTTTTTCGAGGTGGCACTCTCCGCCCTAATGGCTATCCTGTTCATGGAGCCAATGTGGGAGCTGAGTTTGTATGCGTGCGAGGTGCGCAAGCTCACGGACTGGTACACATTGTTTTACAATCCCAATCCCAACTATGAGACCACGTATCATTGCACACAGGAGGCTGTCTATCCTTTGTATGTAGTATAGATGCAAATTTATATGCACACGCATTGTCACCCACTCTTCTTTTCTATTTGTGTACAGACAAACAATTGTGTTGGTGTATTATTTCTTGTGTTTGCTGAATATGTTTCTCATCCGACCCATTGTCAGCTCAACGTTCGATGTCCGAAGCAAGGCGCCTATTTATTCAGCTCTCTACTTTATGCCATTGCTGACACTAATTCATGGCACCTGTTGTGGACTTATTTGTAAATAAGCCAATGTAACAAAAAGTCCCTGTAAATTGTACTCATAGCCGTCTTTCTTGCAGATTATTCGTTTCCCTATTTAAGCATAGCTATGTCCATGGTAGCCAACGCTATACACTACTCCTTAAAACTGGATCAAACACAGAAGGCGTTACTTCTATCATCTGTATGGGATGTGAAGAATGCTGTAATAATTAGTAAGACAATTGTACTTAGTTAAATTTATAGAATATTCAACAATACTCTATTTCAGCTGTACACTGGCTGCTGCTTGCCTTTGGCATCTGCTCGCTGAATTATCATTATGCTTTGCTCTGTCTCGTGCCGTTTCCATCCATGTTCTATATAATGACCGTTCACTTTACTGATCCCGGCGAGTTTCGGGAAATGGAGTCGCGTATTTGATCCGGAAACGTGCAAATGCAAATCTTCCACACGACGAGCACAAGACGTTCCACAGTTGTTATCTATGTGTAATTAGTATGTTTAAATTATTTGTAATGAGTTCATATGTACATTTAAACCATCAATAATTCATGTCGTCTTTTCGTTTTAGTTATATTTCACATTAATTATACACATATAATAATTATTAATTATAAATCATCAGTTTCCCCTTTTCTAAATTAGTTGTTTTTCTTTTCTATTTTTTTACACAATATATATATTCATATATATTGAATTTGCACGCCCCGCTTTATCATAGCCCCACGTTCCACACAGATACCGTTATGTGTATATGACGTATGTGAGTCTGTGTTCTGTATGTGCATGTGTTATGTGTGTGTGTGTATGTAAGCATTCCATTTTTCCTTTTTTAAACCCATGTCAACACAACAAAGTCGAAGAAATTTCGGAAAGATAAGGGGTCAATGTAGAATAAGCTAAAATCAATATCCATTCATAGAATACACATCGAGTTGCTAGATGCACGTGTGAGAGCAAGGTGGGCGTTAAAGGCTGTTGCGCTGCTGATGCTGATGCTGATGCTGCTGATTATTTTCAGTTCAAATTCTAATCTGATTTGTCGATAGTAGCTGTTGGCGACTTGTTGCGCTCCTCCAGGAACTTCAAGCGCCGCTTACGCAGCTCGCTCAGCTCGGAGCTGTCCTCGCTGTCCACATCGACAGAAGCGGCATCAGTGGACGGGTTGAGATCCTCCTCAGCGCCCAAATCTTCAATAGTAACTTTTTCTGAGGCATTTGCCACAGGGCTACTTATAGCAACGCTGTTCACCTGCCCCTCGTGCGGCTTAGCCACTGTTGTTGCGGCTCTTGATGTGCTCGGTTTATCACAAACTGGTGTTGATGCCGATACTGGATCTGGTGCTGCTACTCCTGGTGGTGCTGGAGCTGCTCCTGCTGCTGCTCCTGATGGTGCTGAAGCTGGTGCTGCTGTTGCATCGGGGTTTGGTGGCACTACTTGCATAGGCGGTGGCAGTCGCGCAATTATCCCTTGATATTGTTGCATTAAAATATTTGCCGAATCCACCATTATCGAAATATTGCGAAGCATCTACAAATCGTTTAAGTGATATACAGTTGACTGACTATACTTCATGTAGTTCATTAGTTTACCTTGATGCGCTCCTCAATATGAGTGCGTAGATTGCCTTCCATAGCGCGCAGTTCATCCTCGCTGAACGCGTTGAGATCCTGCGGCATTGGTGGCGGCGGTACTATCGGAGGCGCAAAGTATCCAAAGGGCGGCTGCATCATAAACGGTGAAATCATAGGAGGTGGCGGTATGCCACCTCGATTTGACATTTCGTTTCTTAGGTTATCTATGTAAGAGGCAAAATACATTAATCAAATGTGTGCAAAGTTTAAAAAGATTGATCGGCTACTCACTTGCTTCGGCTAAAATATCTGCAAAATTTGGTACTGCTGGATTGCGAATCGCTGGACCGTTTGGATGTGGTTGACCTGCATCTGGTGCTCCTGCTGCTGCTGGGTTAATTCCCATCGTCCCATCGGCGCCAGCTGCTGGTTGGACACCAGCAGGAGCTGCTGCTGCTGCAGCTGCATTTGCCGGCTCTTCAGCAGCCCGGGGAATTACCGTAGAATTGATTGTTGGTGTACGGAGTATATTGAGTCGACAAGTGGGGCAAGTCTGCTGGCGTTGGAACCAGGAGCGCAGGCAGGTCGTATGGAAGATGTGACCGCACGGTAGCTTCTTGGAGTGATTAACCATGTCTTCGCGACAAATGATGCAAATATTGTCCGACTGGCGCAGCTCCTCGGGTGTGGCGTCCGGATACAATGTGTTCATGTTACGAATCGCACGTCGCGACATAATGACGTCGTTGAGAGCCTTGCGGAAATTGCGTATAGTAAAGAACATTGGGCGGAACACGAACATGGGTAGTGCATAAATCTTGGCCATAATAACAACGAAGAGCAAGTAGAGCACCACCTTGATTAATCCAATCACTAGTTCCGTATACAATAGGAATACGGCCTTATTCTCCCAGGGCGTGTCGGTGCGCATCTCTGCAGCATGGAGCACATATTTAATGGCCGTGCTGGCGATAACTGTCAACAGAATGGCATACTCGAAGCCAAACACTAACTGCACCGTCGGACCACGCACAAGCGTTGAGTTGTAGGCGTGCATGAGGAGCACATAATCAAGGATGCCCAGCATGGTTAGCAGACTGCCGACGCGTATGTGGAACAGCCAGCCCAGTACTGGGGAGCGCTCCATCTGCAAAGCGCAAGCACAACATTAATAAATACATAAACACGAATCGCACGTGCACTTACAAAATCAACGCGTTCCTCGGCGAGCCAATGGAATGATTTGAGAAAGAGGAGCACTGTAAAAAGTGCCACAAATCGGGGATTGAAGTCGTCGCGAAACACAGTAAATGCCAAACATGTTTCTGTCAATGCATACCAAAAGCGTTCGAGCAGATGCTCAAATTCGGCAGCACGCAACGTGCCTAGGAATATCTGCAATAAAGCAGCATTATTTCAATGTCTAACTAAGCCGATATCAACAAATTTGTTTTACCTTGCGCAAGAGTTTGCCGAACATAAAGACTATCACAAAAAATTGTATGTAGATTACCTGTAATCGGAATTCGCTTTAATATGTGTAGGAGGGTATATTTTTAAATACATCAATCTTTATATATATGTGTATGTAAATATGTATAAAAAATTGTATTTCATGAAGAGAGTTTGCTGCTTACCGCCATGGATGCATTGGATTTGGTAATATAGACAACGGCAGGATAGAACTGCTGCTTCTGGTAGTAGGCGTTGCCAATTACGGCGCTGGTCAGCGCCATGCAAACACTTGAAATTAGAAGCTGCATGTTGATGCAGTTGGTTGCAAAGCCAGCCAATTGGCTGATCGACTCAAGAAAGATGTTAATGTTGATTGTTTTGCTGGTCTTTTTTGGTGAACGCTAGCTGCTTCGTTATTTCTTGTTTATTTGCTGTTTTATGTTTTATCGTTCGACATCGACACAGTTAATTTTGACTGTTCTCTCTCTGTACCTCACATATATTTTCCTTTTTTCTCCTGTTTTTATTGTACACGTACACGACTCGTCAGCACGTAACGTAATGGCGTCTGACCATTCACACGTTTGCTTATAGTCAGCTGTTGCTAAGAAAAGTGTGACCTACTCTCGCAAGGAAAAGTTTGAATATAGTTTGGGCTTTTTTAAACGACTTTGAGCCTCAAAGTTTGAGGTTTTTGCCAATAAATAAAAAAGCTAGGTTACTTTGTTAACATGTAAATTGGCGAACTGATATCATATCAAACATTAAAATAATTATATTTTGAATTGCGTACCCACCATGTCATAAAGACAAGGCCTAAAAGTATGCAGAGCTGACAATCATTTTAGACGTTAATTTGCAACCGATTAACAATTTTAAAAGGTATTTCCGACTGTAGGCAAAAAATATTGCTTAAAAGTTAACTATAAATTTTTAGTTTTATTACATTTGTTGAAATTTTATTACATTTGTTGAAATCGGTTTTGGCCCTTAATGAACTAACTTATAATTATAGTTTTGGACAGAAAGCGTGAAAAAGTATGAAGCTAATTGAGGCTTATCTCAAGTTTCGCTGACCATGATTAGCCGCTGAGCTGTCCAAATTTAGTCATAATTAACGCTATGTAAATCCATACTACTATTAAGATGCTGCAGCAACATTCACGCTGGCTACCCAGCAGGGTGTCCGCATTGGCAAACAATTAGTGACTTGTGATTCACCTGCCCGCTGCCCGAAGTAACTTTTACTTTCCGTCTGCCGCCTTGAGAATCTGCACTGACCATATGGCTATGAAGCCTAGTTTGACTGCAATCGCATTGCGTAAATGCAAGTCCCGCCGTTGAGGCGCAGCTGGCATCTTTGCATAAGCTGATCAAATGCTAGACACCCAAAGGCTAAAGTTTGTGCGCAGAACTAGCAGAGATGCCACCAGGCCAACTTGGCAACTCCAGTTGTCGTTACCCAAGCCGGAGCCCGGTTCCAGCCAATTCAGACAAGGCAAAACGTGTCGCAGCAATTTCCCAAACAATTTCAGTGTTTCTATGCACGTTTGCTTTGCACAGCATCTTTTATATTTTTGTTTAGCTTCAATTCGCATTGCATATGCAATTTCACTTGCTTAGCCTAGCCCGCCCGCTCGCTCCCCCGTCCACAGCTACTGCTGCTTACATTTTCTGGTTGCATGGACAACTCATCTGCCTGCATGCCGGCTGCCGTTGTCTTTAGCTGCTGTTGCTGTTGCCGTGGCTGTGACTGTCGCGGATTGTATCGGTCTCCACGCTTGACTTACATAAAAGCTAGGAGCACGGTTCGGACAAATAAAACTTGTTTTGTCTTTTTGAGGAAACGAAAGAAGACGTCGAGGTTGTTGCTACTGCCACTGACGGTCTTGCCTACAACAGCTCGGGGGCTCTTCTGCGTTGGCGCCTTATGTAACTGTTAGCCAGCTACATATACATTCACACATACATATGCATGTAGCTGAAACTGTATTTACTTTGTGGATGCAGTTTTTAGCGCATTCATCTTCATCAGCAGCAATTACATCTTGCGATATTCTCGGCATTTGTCACTGGTTTTCCTTTCCTCTCTGTCATTTATACGCTTGAATAATCAGTTTTTACACACATGATTCGCCAGTTTAGAGGCATTAAAAAAATTGGTTTCTCCTTATAATACATCATAGGCTTCGAGAAGCCTCCACACAGCTGCACAACTTCGATAACGATGCGCTGCTCAAGTTGCAACAGGTATTAAATTAAAAGAAGATAATCTACTGAAGACATAGGACTGCAATGTCATCACTTCAAATAATTACTCATTATCCAAAGAGGGCAATTAATCTGTATGAACTATATATTTCTTTATTAAGGCAATACATACATTTGATATATTGATCCTTTGCGAGTATTTATTTACGACAGACTGGTCACATTGAATAGGCACATTGAATAAGGCAATGCATATATTTGATATATTGATCCTTTGCGAGTATTTATTTACGACAGACTGGTCACATTGAATAGATAAAGTTGGCCGCGCATCACCAATTGGTTTCCTTCTCGTTTATAATTGCAGCAAAATATACGTTAGAAGAATTTTGATTATAGGAAAGAGCAACTATTTTGTTTACCCAAACCTTGGCGATGAACGCAAAAATATTATTTCAATGCCAGTTTTGTGTTTTTTCGTTTGAGCCGTGTAAATAGCAATTTAAAGTTTGGCACTAACTGTTCCCATTTGTTGATGAGTGCATTGCTCTGAATAGACATATACTTATGCATACATATGAGCATACACATACATATACATATGTATCTTAACAGCTGAATATGTTTTGCAACAAAAGCCTTATCGAATTATCCATCAATTGGCAAAGACGAACAACGATTTAATAATTTCAGCGCGTCTGCAGTCCATTTGCCAACTTTGTTGCTATTTTTGTGTATTTTCCAGCTGCTATTTGGCCTAATTAAAGTGTCATAACAATTACCAACGCACTCAAACACACACACGCACAGCTTTGCACTGATATTGAACATCTACTTAGGCCGTTATTAAGCTGAGAAAACAAAAAGCAAAAATTGTACCAAATGTAAGTCATGCAACGGCGACGTCGCGTCGGCTTCGACTACGCTGACCTAGTGGACGTGTTAATGATGGATTTGGCCAGATACACACAACCGCATGTACATAAGCATATTGTTGCATGCAATAAAGCGTTTCATTTGAGTTGCAAAAAAATAAACCTTTGAAAACAAAGCAAACCATGAAAAAACGCACAAAAGCGGCAGCCAAACAAACCATAAAAAAGTTAAAGAGAAGCTGGTTCGCTTCAATGCCGGAGCGATCCTCCAATGTGGCCAACCTAGTAATTAAGAATGACACCTCAAACAGGGAAACATCGCCACGCATTGAGTCGCCTTGCCGTAGCACTCCAATTACAGCCGGCACTTAACTGAAAGTACGAGTTAAAAAAGATTCGACCAGATAGGCACCCTTTAAAAATTACCAAAGTAAATGCAAAAAGGAAATAAGAAATTATATACATATGCAGATTCACTTCAATGTCAAACGGATCATATGGGGTGATCAGACCTGTAATTTAGGGTGACACCGCAGGCAGAAAAACATCGCCACACGTTGAGTCCTCTTTCCAAAATACATCAAAAACTTGCAATTGACTGAAAGTGCGAGTGAAAAAAATGCAGACAATTACGAAATGAGTTAAGAGAGAGACCTTCACAAGGCATCTCAAGACAAAAGCACAATAAACCAAATTAAAGCCCAAAGTGACAGTGGAAGCAGCAGCGGCAGCAGCTGAAGCCACAACAACTCCGCATGCTGATAAAAATAATTTAAGACACACGAGAAACGAGAGAAAAAAAATATATAAAAAATAATGATTTAGCGCATTGTCATTGAAGTCGAACTCCAACTCAAACTCGAGCTTGAGCTCGAGCTCGAGTCGAGCTGAGCTGAGCTAAGCTGGTGCTGCCGCTGCCCCCGCTGCTGTTGAGAGTGTTAAGTGTTGACTTTCATCTTCTTGTCTTTTTGTTGCCACCAAATTGAAAGAGGTCTGCCGGTCTGAGGGTCTGGGGGTCGGAGTCGTGCCGCTGTTGTCATTGCCGCCACCGCCACGCAACGGCGCACGCAGTTGCCAAAAGTCCTTCACTTTGAAGCGTGAAGGTTTCCCAAACATAAACCCTAAACCGAAAATTCAAGCTGTCTCCCGAACCGCTGCACTTTGCGAAAGTTAGCCGAGAGATGTACGAAGTGAATAAACCTCATTTACCACAATTTACTGCCACTTGGCACTTTGATTGGGATTCGGTTACATTTTCAACTGCTTTTGCTCCATATTTCTTTTAATTTTATTATTATTATTTTTTGTTTCATCTCTTATTTTTGTTGTCTTTCCTACTTTCGGCTTAAGGTGTCTCAAGTGCCCTCTGTACAAAGCGGTTGATGTTGACATAATATACGCAGGCGAGAGACAATAATCAAAAATATTAAGTAAACGCCTACTGATCGCCCGTTGCTTCCCTGACAGAATCTTGAGCAGCCTTTGTTGCTGCTGGTACTTTTCAAATCTCGTGCGCATATTTACAACAATGATTCATTATCGAGCTGCCTGCTCCTCCTCCCACTCTCGCCCCCTCTCTTTACACCTGCGTTATATCATTTTGAAGCGCGCCAGGGAAGACCCAATGCATAATAAACGAGCTGGTTGTTATGGACTGTTCACGACTATGTGATACTCGTTTATAGATCCGACAGATTGTCAGATTTATCTGTTTTTTATTATAAATATCATATATGAAAAAAAAAAAAATATATATATATATATTTTCTTAAATATGGTCACCCTAAAATACATCTACACACCATACTAGCGTGGAGTTAAGAGTGATATCATCTCCATTAAACCCTATATAAATTATTAAATATACATATATAAAGACTAGACTAAGACTAATTTATATATGTATGCATATATAGAAAGCATAGACACATATGTAATCCCATTAAAATTAGTAAACAGACCAGCACTGTCTGAAACCCGTATACTCCCGTTCCACTCTGCAAACGAGTATAATAAAAAATATCAGACGTAAAGCGAATTGAGAGTGCGAACGTGAAGTGAAACATTTGTTCGAATTACGAACACCTAAAAGACAAAAAAAAAAAAAAAANAAACTATTGAAAGCAAAACTTTTAGCTGAGGCGCAATTCTGTTTAAAAATTATCTTGGTTTCCATAACCACAACCATAAACCATACATCATTCCATCTATATTATAAACTAAACACAGAAAAAATTGAACTAAATCATAATTCTACAATAAAAAACAAAAAAAAAAAAAAAAAAAAAAACAAACCATAAACACACATATATGTGCATTTGTGTGTGCATACATATATATATATATACCATATCATTAACTTTTTGGTCTTCTTTTTAAGTGTACAACTACAACTTTTACCCAAAAACGAACGACTCAGTTCTTTCAATGCCCTGTTGCCCATGTGAACTTAAATAATTTTCAACTTTAACGTAATTCCTTGGGAAATCGAGCCGAGTTGATTATATGTCTGGCAGTCTGTCCGTCTGTCCGTCCGTCTGTCTGCCTGTGATTCGCCCTAGTGCTCTACATGAAAATTATATGGCATTTTCGCAGACAAACTCTTTCGTAATCGTGCACAAGGTGCAAATTGTGGCGCCCCATTGTTGATACTATTTACATGACTTAGACTACTTAAATAAATAGTAATGCTGATGTACATATATACCTTAATATATGTTAGAAATGGAGATACCTTACAGACGGCTGATGAGTGTTTACTTTTGATAATCAATGGCTGGCAAAATGACTTCCTGGTCAGGAGAGACGTCGATGGCGATGTCGCTGGTGATGTCCAAGCGGAAAAAAAACGTGAACAGAGGAAAGTGCCGATGAAATTTCAAATGCAAGTACAGACAGCTGAAATTGTTAGCGACATTTCGGTTTTTGGTCTTTCGATTTTTTAACTATTTTGTTGTTGCTGTGATTTTTTTATAATTTTTTTTTTATGGTGGGAAACAAGAGGCGCTGCTGAGCAGCTGAAGTTGGAGTTGGCCGCAGGTCGTCCGCCAAAAACAAGTTGTTCGCTGAAGATGAAGGTACARACAACAACAACAACAACGACCACACTCAATGTGTGTGTTGTGTGTTTTCGTTAGTGTCCATCGTTGAGCTGGCGCTCATGCAGTAGACGAAGAAGTTGCCGATAATGATGTTTGGTTCGACGCAGCCGATGAAACCAACTCGGTTGGCGCTGAGCGAGGGAACGAGCGGGTCGCTGAGCATAGAGAAGCGACTTAGTATAAAGAGGGCCTGCATGGCATTTGTTTGGCATTCAGTCGCTGGCTCCCCACTCGAAAGCAACTAAATTTACCTTATAATTTAATTTTACTTCTCTCCCCCACACACACACATACACCACTCAAAACTCAATCGCTATGAACTCCTTCTCAGTGGTAAGTAGTCAAGTGGATTATACGATGTGGATAGCCGTTGGATTACCCAATTCTTGCTCGCCTACAGTTCTTAGTGTTTGCGCTCGCTGCTCTGGCTGCAGCTGAGCCGCCATCGGGCTACAATTATCCACGCGGTGGTGGCGGTGGAGGCGGCGGTGGCTTCGGCGGTGGCTTCGGCGGCGGCTTTGGTGGCGGCTCCTCGTTCGGCGGTGGCGGCGGTGGTGGCGGTGGATTCCAGGCCGTCAGCGGAGGCTTCCAGACATCCGAGGGACAGAATGTTGATCCACAGCTGCTGGAGCAGGTGCGTCAGATTCTGTTGAACGAGGAGAGCAAATTGGGCGGCGGTGGTGGCGGCGGCGGTGGTGGCGGCGGCGGCGGTGGTGGTGGTGGCTACCCAAGTGGACCATCAACCAGCTATGGCCCACCATCGACCAGCTACGGAGCGCCCGGCGGCGGCAACGGCGGTGGCCGTGTGGTTGGCATCGATCTTGAGGGCGTCCGTCAGGCCATCCAGGTGGCTCAGTTCGCACAGCAGAGCACGCAGGCCGGCGGCGGCGGCGGTGGCTATCCCAGTGGTCCTCCATCTGGTTCGTATGGTGCTCCGTCCAGGCCCAGCGGCAGCTATGGTGCGCCTTTCTAAGCACATTCCACAAACATTCAAACACAATTTTTGCTGCCAAAAATGAAAAACGACGGAAAGGACGACATTAATTGACTCAGCCGGACCTAACGACATCAACAACAACAATAACAACAACAACATTAACTGAAATGAAAGAAGAATTTAAGGAAGTATGGGTTTTAACAACAGCCAAAACTTGAAACTTCGTGCGAGCCACGCCCACGCCCTAAGCTCCTCCCCCCAAATACGAAAGCGAAACAACAACTGAGTGAAAAACGTTGTTCGACACGTGTTGTAGAGTGAGATGTTTCATTGAACCTGCCTACATCTTCCACAACAAAAAAACTCAACCAATTTCGAGCTATTCTCAGTTCCCCGACTCCTCCAGCTGCCCCAACAGATCCCAGACTCAGTGACTGTACCTATCTATCTAATCTATTCTATCTGAAACTCAAAATGCAAATTCGTCCTTCGGCATTTGAGGTAAACAAAAACTTTCGGAGGCGAAATTCGTTTTTGTTTTCTTTTTTTTGTAAATACTTTTTTCTCAAAAAAAAAAAACACCAACACACAACAAACAATCCCCAAAAAACAAAACAAAAACAACAAAAAACAGTGTTATAACGCATTATTAGCATGTAAGTGTTTTTATTTTTATGAAACAAACAAAGAAACAACAAAAAAAATATGAAAATAATAAAAAAAAATAGTAAATTTTGTCACCGTTAAATTATGCCAGATTTTTTATTTTGGGTACTTGGTGGGATTAAGCAAAACAAAAACACATTTATGAAAATATGTATATATATACATAAATAATAAAAAT